CCCGTCTTCACCGCGATCGCCATAACCGGTTGAGGGTCGCGTTATCTCCTCTGTCGGTGCCTGTAAGCCGGCAACTTTCGCGCCTCTGCGACATTCATAGTATACGGTCCGGACATCTACCACGACAAGGTGTCTTAGTCTCGGGTACCTTTTCTGTAACATATTTAACTCCGCTTTACTCTTCCGTTTTCGTACTAGAACAACATAAACTTTTTTTTTTCATTTATCGGAAATATATGTCACCCGTTTTTTCATAATCAGTCGGTTGGTTAACACTGTTCAAGAGGGTGAATTTTTCTCTCTCTCCGACATCTAACAGTGGATCCATATGGTGTTGATACTCTCTGTTTTTACTCTTTTGTTTAGGTCTTTTAGTGACAGACTTAAAAATTTCTGAAATAACGTTTATACCACTTTTATTCATAACCAGTTATTCGTTTTCTAAGTAGACGCTTATGAACAACAATATATGGTGAAACAACAAGTGTTCAAATCTGGATCAGTCTGTATCAGATCCGTTGCAGCCCCTTTTTAAGAGATTTGGGTATGGAGGAAAATAGAGAGGGTTGTGTTTTCTGACACTTGGTGAGTTCCCTGGAACACCGGGGACACATATTCATGTATAAAAGACGTACAAAAGTGCATTTCGCATGATAGGTCACCTTTAAAGCTTCATAAAGATAGTCTTCAAACTAATGGGTGATGTGAAGTTGACTCGGTCGACTTCTCTCATATAGTCTATGGCTCAAACCAAGATGGTAGTGGGAAAAATGCACTCAGAATGAATTGTCTGTGTTCTTTGCAACATGACAGAGTAAGAGGTTAGATATGTGTGTGTGTGTATATATATATATATATATATGCTGTCTGGATGTATCTTGACTAAGAGTTACTTAGTAACCCAAGATGTTCACGGATAACGAGAAAGAAATAGGAAAAAATAACAAGAGAAACTTCACGAGGTATTTCTCTGCCTCATCTTGTGTGCAGACTGCGCTCTTCCTCATCAAAAAGCCCATCTGACGAGAAGCTGCGTTTCTCCCTCAGCGTCAAATACAAAAGGCGGAGGCTGGGAGAACCCACACAAAAAGCATGGATCTAGTTAAAAAGGAGAACATCTATAAAGGGGGAGAAGCACTCGGCACAGAGAGCGAGACAGAGAGGCAGACTCAGAAACCCGCTGAGCCCTAGATTATTCGACGGAGAGGGTTCCAAGAAAAAGATGCTGTTCTGAGAGGAGATCCAGATTTAGAGAGAAGTGGAAGGAATAGAGAAGAGATACAGATTTACAGAGAAGTGGTAGGAATAGAGAGGAGATACAGATGGGGGGGAGACGGAGAAGCAGGTCGACTCGTCAAATAATTCATGTTAGCATATCGGAGGACAACCTCATGCATTATTGATACATGTAGATCCAGGGCTACTCCCTATCTCAACCTCAACATAGCTATAGATAGAGCTGCTGGCATCTGGCTTTCACCCTCTTCCTCTCCAAAGTGAAGAAGTTGGTGGTTTCCCTAGTAACTGAACACCATGGCCTCAGCGCTGACCTGAAGTGCTTTTCTTTCCCTTTTTGAAAACTAGTAGTCATGTCATGGAGAGGAGAAGCTGTATAGACTGTTGCAGTGTTTTAACAGCAGATTGTGGCTGGATGAAGATACTATTGAGTGCCGAATAAAAGTAATAATCTTTATAATCACCGTTATAAAACCGTATATGCAAGTGCCCTTCAGTGTGACACAATATAATGTTATCGTCCATGCCCATATACTTTTGGTTTAGGGCCAAATGGGATCCAAATGTTGTACTTAAGAACAATTTTTTACATTCTTGCACTTTACTTGAGTATTTCCAATTCATGCTACATTTACAAAATTTCAATTATTTGACTTGTAATACTGATAAAAACAATTATATTTTTCCAATACTGTAAAAAATAGCCATTCTGCATACTGGATACTTTTGATACAACGAGTACAGTGTACTGATAATACCCCCTAACTTCTACTGAAGTAATTCAGGATTATATCTTGTAATGGAGTATTTTAAGACCATTAGTAATTCTAATTTTACTCAAGTAAAGGACCCGAGTACCTTTTCCACCACTGCTAGGGCGCATGTTGGTTCAGGTACAGGTGAGATGATGCAATAGAATCCAGGAAATACACTTTGAGTAAAGGATTGCCAAGTTTTAATAACAGAATATCATGAGGAATAAAAAAAATTCCACAACCCTATTGCCTCAATGTAGGAATAAATGGAGGGGTGTACTTTCTCACGTTGTGTTTTCCCCATAGCTTATCGCTACTACAAACATGATGATTCTTTAAGAGATAGCAGCCTTCTGGCAGCAGTTTGGGAGATTCTTAATATATTTGATAAGTTCTGTTTACTTGTGAGCCACAGGCTGCAACAGAGAATTCCCTACATAGATCAAAAATAAATGTAAATCTCGTTAAGAACTAGTGTGCACGACATTTCATTTCTGATGCCAAAAGTTCACCCCATCTGAAACCCCTCATTACACCATCATTAAACCATCTGACCCCTTTACATATTAGATTAAAGCCGCACTTTTTTTTGCAAATAAAATCATATTTTTCGGATGGTTACTCAAGGCTGCAACAGAAGTGCGTACTCTGCCAAGAAAGAGCTGCACTCAGTGACATCAGACCTTTTTCATCTCTCCTCCCTTTGGTATAAATGCAAAATAAAAGTTCGCAGACCAGCCTGGTCGGTAAACACCAGAGTGCTGTGTGCAGCTTACTGACGTCACATTTTTATGGTATCTAGGAACTTGAAAACAGTTCTGCCCTCGTCGGACCTGCCAATGTTTGCAAAGAGCCAGCAGGGAGGAGGCAACCCGGGTCAAAATATATATTTCTTTGTAAGTCACAACATATTGTGGCTGCTGTTTTCAAAGAATACAGACGGTTATCTCCAAAAGGGGGTCAAAGAGTCCAACTGGGAATTCATTTTTGGCTGCTGTGCTCGACTACTTTACACAAAATGTGTCTGAACGGAGAGCAAACGGAGCTCCACAGAAAGGTGATGACTCACAAGAGAAGAATGAGTCGTGATCGGGCTGGGTTGAATGAAAGCAGCTCTTATGCAAGCAGAGAAACACACACAAGGAAACAGACGTGTAGATGGATACAGACACATGTGCACTCTCGCACACACACACGAGCTGGGACTCTACGCCTTCATCTTCCTCCTCCTCCACCTATCTCCTACGTAGTATTTCTCCTCCTCTCTTACGCAATCAACCATTTAGCCTCGAAATCCAATCAAAGTGTGAAAGAAACAGAATCACAAAGGGAAGCTGGGTGGGTGCTGAAGATGATGGGATTGAAGCAACGTCTATGTTTAAGAGTGTGGTGTGTGTGTGTGTGTGTGTGTGTGTGTGTGTGTGTGTGTGTGTGTGTGTGTGTGTGTGTGTGTGTGTGTGTGTGTGTGTGTGTGTGTGCGTGCGTGTGTGTGTGCGCCTACAAGGTTACAAGGCTGATAGTGTGTGGGCTCCAGCTCTCATGGGAGCATTTGCTCGTGGATAAGTGTAGTGCGACGGCGGGGTCAATGATGCAGCTTAGCAACATGAGTCATAATTTGAAACGCTGATGCGAACAGGGTGTTGGTAACGACTTGTTCACTATTGACAGAAACATGAAGTGCAAAGAGTCAGGTAGCGGTGCATAATACAGCATCAATACCAGAGCCTGTGAATTTGGTCTACAGTTAAAGATAGAGGACATTAGGTTCGGTTAGCTGCTTTGGTTCTTAAATGCTAGAGGAGATAGGTATCATTTGTTTCTAGATTTCTGAATTACATTTTTGGAGAGATAATGTTGAATAAATGGCGCTTGGAGCAACTTGCTTCAGAATGAAATGCCAACTCGACACTATTTATCATGACTTCTATGAATCTCCAACCAATTAAAGGGGCCTTACCATGCTACATTTTTCAGGTGTGTATTTAATGCTTCTACTGAGATGTTTACATCCTTTAATGTAGGATAAACCTGGGGATTTCTAAGCCTTTGCGGAACATTTACATGAACAAAAACCTATAGAACACACTAGAGTAAAGGGAAAACCCCAAAAGAGCTAAATATGGACTCTTAAAGCTAAGGATTATACATTGGCTAAACATATTTAAACGTTTAATCCGTTCACTTTTATATCTTAAGCCACTTTTGGATGAATAAAGCTCCTTTGTTGCAATGCTTGGCTCCAAAATCTTAATGGGAAGAGGTTTTGATTTGATTAGTGTGTTTGTGTCTGGCAAAGCCTGCATAGCAACAGTGAACGAGGCTCATGGGTATTGTAGTATTTAAAGTGTGTTCAGAAAAAAAAAATACAATCCCAGGAAGAAGTTGAAATAATGAAATCTAATGGCCATAACATTTTGTGTTTCTATGTTGCCAACATTGCGGGGATCAATAAAAGGAAACTGTATTTCTTGGTAAAATAAATACCTTTGGATTAATGTGCCTACTCTATAATCCCCTGCTTCTATATTTATCAAACTAATGCCAATCAGAAACCACATTAGTAAATAATAAACGTCACCTTATGTAAATACGGGTGTGCCGTAATGCTCAGGTGTTTAAACTGATAAAGAACGCATTGTATAAATTAAAGTAAAAAGGGTTTGTTTTCACAACAATACATCATAACTGGGGAGGAGATTTGTTTATTTTCTGGATATCAGTCACTTTTAAATTACTCGATAATGTTTAACTGGAGATCAAATGCAGTGAAACCGCTAATAGAAGTGTTTTTACTGCAATTGTATCAAGGGGTGGCAGCAGCGGAGCTAATTACAGTACTACTGCTAATTAAAAATGGCACTTAAAGAGAAGCTAATGCAGGGAGTAGAACGACTTCTCTGAGGCAGTGCGCTTTAAGAACAGACTGAGCAAACATTAAAAGAGACACTGTAAGTAAAAAAAAAAAAAGAAGAAAAAAAAAGATGACCTCATAACAGGAAAAATGAAAATAAGAGAGTTATCTTTCAGTTTGTTGCCCTGCATGCAACGATGCCTCCGGGGTGGAAAGTGGGATTTGGCCATTTCATGGAACATTAGCAGCTGTGCTAGAGTTTGCTCTCTAAACACTGCCTCCCCCCACATGTTCAGCAAGGTATGAGGATGTCATAGAAGATGTGCTTTTTTACTAACCTGACTTCCACAGCCTTTTGTCGCTGGTTTTATTTCAGTTTGATATCCTAAAACAATGGTTTGAAAAAGAGGATATTTTTCCAAGTCACGCTTCCTTTAGTTACTGCTCCTACGATGGCAAAGCATTACATTTTTAACAGTTGTAAAGAAAAGCAAGGATTTGGCAGATTTTATCAAAGGGTTCACGAAATATGACCACTACTCTTACTGTTTAACATTTTGGGTTACTTCATGTTACTTGATGTTAAAGCTAATAAAAATGACAAGGCTAAGGCTGTAATGCTAACTAACGTGCTCACTTACACGACTCTGGGATTTGTAGTCTTTCTAGTTGCGCATTTTTCATAGTCTTATATTTCAACAGTTTTCGACAAACTGACTTTTTACACATGGAAATTATCTTTTAAGATTGACAAACATCATATGTGTAATTCGTGGCACAATTCAAACGGGATCGAAAGATAAGCTTTCTCTCTCCATTGACTTCAATACATCATTTTTCCGAAATAAGGTCCCGTGGGGCGGAAGTAGATGGGCGGGACTTCGCCTCTCTATTTAATGATGTGCTCCTTGTACATGGAAGTACTTCTTGGTTCGCACTATTGGTAGCACAACATGCTAGCTAATGCATCTTACATGTATTCCTTACACTGCTTCCCTTGAATTTTGTGGTTTGGCAAATGCTACAATAATAAACCAACTTCCTTAAATGCTGAGTCGCTCTCACTATAGGTAAACCAATTCAACATGAGGAGAAATCCAAAGCATGACAGGCACGTTATGGTTGCTGGGCTGTGATTGGCTGTTCTGGGGAGGGGTTTAAGCACAAAACCGATCATTTATGCTTCAGCAGAATACTCAAAAATCAATAACCTGAATCAGTACCGCAGACAAAAAGGGAACACAAATAAATCCCTGACTGGGGGAATTTCCATTTAGCTAGTCGTACCCTGCAAGTTTCTGGCTGGCTGAGTCTGCTGAGCACAACAGGACAACAACACACACACACACACACACACATTACTTTCCTCTATTGATCACAAAGGAGCGGCCGATTTAATTGAGTTTGAAAAACTTGTTTATCTTCAAGAAGGAGGGAAAGAAGTGTGTGGTGAGGGGGTCATCTCGTCGTGGGTCACCCTGGAACTTTTACTTTTTAGAGATGAGATACCATCTGAAGCACACACACACACCAATACACCCACACACACACACCTAATGCTCTGCGATGTGCCGCTACACTTATCATCTTTATGTTCACCACACCAGCAGCTGGTAGGAGGCATGTGTGTGATGACTTTGTGTGTGTGTGCATTGAAGCTCTTCAGATTATCACAAGTGACCCCTATCAGAGTCAGGGTGACCTCACACACACAAATAACAGCCTCTCGGCTCCCTTTGACACAGTGCTTGAGTCAGCAAATCTCTCTTCCCTTTCCGTCTTTCCTCAACGGCTTTCATTCCTTCGAAAAAATCTGTCGTTCATAATATCTTACACACACAGTCGTGTAAGGACAATCACTCAAATAAGTAAAAAAACGAGGCAATAGTTGTTTGAGTATTTTTGTATTATGCTACTTTAAACTTTTACTCCACTGCATTTCTTTTACATATTTAGTTTCTAGTTACTTTGCAGATGTAAGTTGTTAATACGAAATTTAAATCGAGACACATTATATTATAGGTTAAGCCTCCCACTAGTATTGAAAGTCATTCAAATAAAACCCCACTATTACCAAGCACACACTGAAGTAATGATGACATTAATGCAACAATATTAAAAAATTATAATAAAATGTGTTTGGTGCTTTAAATGGCGTACTAAAGTATTTTTATGCTCATACTTTTTACTACAGTGACATCACTATGTAACACTAGCTCTTCTACTGGCTAGCACTCAAATACATTGTATGTGATAGGCTAAGGGGCGGGACATCTCTAAGCGGTTGACCAATCACAGCAGCACAATTTTGAGTGCAGGACTTTTGCTTGAACCCGAGTATGTTAACACTTCTTTACCTTAAGTGAACCATCTGAGTACTTCTTCCACCTCTGAACGCACGCTATCTTAAATCTCCGCCTCCGTCTGCGACCTCGCTGTCCCGGAGGAAGAGGAGGCGATGACGTCACTGAAACAAATGGGCTGTTTGCTATCTGGGACACTGGTGGCGGCGACTTTACCCTTCTGTAAAAACACACAACGCTTCGTCTAACGCACACCTTTACTGTACCCTCCCTCCCTTTCTAACACACACAGGAAAAAAAGAAAGTATTCTGCTTCCATCAGCACTTTCTGCCATGTCCTCGCCAGACCGTTCCTGTCTCCTCTCATGTCCTTAATGACTCTCCCACTCTGTCTACTCACCCCCCCCCCTTCCCTCGTTTCATCTCCCTCCTATGCTCAGTTTTGATGTACAGAGTCGCCGCTCTCTATCCCGATTCCCGATGCACTTAGGCGCAATCAATCAGACGATAATTTTCCCCCGCTGACACTCACAACTATCCTGTCCAGAGGAATAAAGCATGATGGGTAGTATTTCTAAAAGGTCTTGACGTCCTTGAAAACAAACTCCTGCTAAAAAAAAGGGTTTCATAGATCCGGGTTTTGCTGTACCGTGTGGTCTGGCAAAGCTCTGAGCTGTGACATTCCTCGATTACACTGAGGGAAAACTACTCAAAAAAGGCTATTCATCATCAAAATAAAAACTAGCTTTAAGCGTGACAGGTTTGGGTTGCAGGGGTTTGATTTTGTGCCGTGTTCAATTGGCAAGCAAAGCATTTTTTGGAACAAAAGCAAATCTGAAGAGGATATTGATTGTTCAACACTGAGGAATATCACTTTTTGTAAATCTTGAGAACAGTTATTTAATTATCAAGAAGTGCACAGTCCTGCTAAAATTCGCTTTTCTACAAGTTACTGATAGTTTATGCCTTTACTGAGTAATGTGATTTGAGGTAAAAATATATCAAAGTTCACGATAGCCTTTTACAAGGTTGTTATTTTACAGTTTGTTGAACAGTGAATGTAGACCTTATTGGCGACCAAACCATTTTCAAGCATTACTCTAAAAAAATATCTCATAACATTGAATATAAGGCTCAGTCAGTATTGGAGAAACAGTTGAAAGAAGTACTAGAAAAAAAGAAAAGAAATGTAATCCAAGTGCTCTTTAAAAAAAGAACTGTCGCTTCCACATAACCCCATTTCTCATTACACTCATTCTTGTGCAACCATTCACTACATCTTCTCAAAACAACGTAACCTTCCTCTTTTCATACTGCTTCCTCTCCTACCGCCTATAACCTTGTTCGGGGTTTCGTAGGAGAAGCACCCACGGTCTCCCAGCAGTCCGAGGGGAGGGATGGATGTCTGAGGCTGGGACTGATAAATGTCTCTCTCCGCTATTGTTGGGGTTTCCTGCAGGATTGTTTGTGGTACATACTGCATTAGCCTATCATACAAACCGCTTTGAAGCAGAGGCACACGCTGATACATGATAACAGCCGAGACAATGTCTAGACAAGAAGTCAGGACATTGTCTTGCATCCCTGTTAGATTTATACACACAGAGCTGAACTAATTGACTGTCGATTTAGTCATGATAATGCGCGGAGTATAAAACAATGAGGTGCAAAGTCCACTTCTAATTCTTAAAGGGGGCCTATTCTGCTCATTTTCAGGTTCCCATCAGTATGTAGTGTCTCTACTTTAAAGAGTCCTCTCCTGCTGATGTTCAGGTGTATATCAGTATGTAGTGTCTCTACTTTAAAGAGTCCTCTCCTGCTGATGTTCAGGTGTATATCAGTATGTAGTGTCTCTACTTTAAAGAGTCCTCTCCTGCTGATGTTCAGGTGTATATCAGTATGTAGTGTCTCTACTGGGACAGTGTCCATGCTTTAATGTTCAAAAAGCTCTTTATTTCTCTCATGCTGCCTGTGCTGCAGCACCTCTTTTCACCCTCTGTCTGAAACCAGAGCCCAGTCTGCTCTGATAGGTTAGCTGGGCGGCTCTGTTGTGATTGGTCAACCGCTTGCAGATTTCCCGCCCCTTAACCTATCACGTACAATGTGTTGGAAAGATATCCAATAGAAGCGCAAGTGTTACGTAGTGGTGTAACTATCTATTGTATGAAAGGGAAACATTTACAAGCATAATAGGGTCCCTTTAATTGTATTTTTTAAAGGTTTAATATAACTGTCCCTTTCCAGAAGTGTCCCTTATGGATTCAAATGCTAACCTTGACATTTGTGTTGCAAAATGTATGTGTTTGCACAAATACGACATGTTTCCTAACCCTTATGGAATTTAACTTTTTCGACGACTTGTGAATTTAGATCAAAAAAATACAAATAAACCGACCAATGAAGGCAGCTGTAGACAAGCAACTGAAAATGATTGTTTTTGTCAATGGAGTCTGGTGGCTTTGAAAGGAGCATAGCTAATGGCTTCAGTTCCCTTTCAAAAAGTACTCTGACAGCTAGGTGAAGCTGTAAAGATATGCTAAATATAGCGCAGTCTTGAAACCGATATAGATTTTTTTTTGGACTACTTCCTAGTATTGGTATCGACTACTACATTTCTGGTTTCATGACGTCCCTGCTTAAAGGGGCTTTGTGGCCGAACAAAAGGGAATGTGATTCGTGATCAGGTATTGACGGACCCTTGATGGCGTCTAGGATTGAGAGTGTCACTGGGGAGGGAACCAGGATTGCTTCTTGGGGAAAATACTGGAGGGAAGAACTGACACACACACACACACACACACACACACACACACACACACACACACACACACACACACACACACACACACACACACACACACACACACACACCAGAGCGCGCTGACTATTATGGCAGCTGAAGCAAAGAAGAGAATTAAAACTTATTCACCTGCTATTTGCTCCGAATGGTAAATATATTCCCTCATTGGATTTGAAAGCACGGGCTGAATATATTACTTCAGAGTAAAAAGGGCTGCTTTTAAAACTGCTGACATCCAGAGCCACTCACAATGAATGGACTCAATTTGAATATGCTCAGATATTACCGTGTGTTGATTCACATTCAACTGTTGTAATATAAACCGAAAACACTTCCTTCCCCATCTCCTACATCCTTCTAACCACCTTCTCTAGATCCTCCTTCCTTCCCTATTCTGTCTCCTATCTTCTTTCCTTCTCATCTTAACCTATTCTGTCTCCGATGTTCTTTCCTTCTCATGTCCTTCTATAAAACGTGTTTCCTTATCCTTTCCTCCTTCCCTGTCTCCTCGTTAACTTCTTACCTATTTGTTTCCCTTCTCAAGCCCCTATTTTCCTTCCTTTATCTTCTATAAGATCTTTCCTACTTCTCTCCCTATCTCCTTTTTTCACTACCTCAATATTAACTTGTGTTCCTCCTTCTCTCTTTCCCTTCTTTGTAATGTCTTTCTGTACTTTCTTTCACTTCTTTCTTGTCACCTTTCCTTCCCCATATAACATTCTCTAACTACTATTTCCTGTATCTCCTTATTTCCTTCCTTTAAACTCCATTAATTCCTTTCTTCCTCTTTGTCTGTTGTACCATTCATCTTTCTCAAAAACCCAATAAACGACACAAACCAAAAATGGGCCAATATCTAAAACGATACAAACCAGCTTTCAGAGTCAGCTACGTGATACTTAAATCCATCATAAACTACAAAAACGAAAATGACGTGGTGAAGCAGCTTTTTCCCTTCCACATAAAAGCCTCCGTCTGATTCCACGCATTGGAATTGTTCTTTAGTGGCAGAGCATTCACAGTACAATGTGCAAGGCCATCTTCAGCCAAGCTGCAGCGCGTCCGCGTGTTGATGTGAAAAAGGAATGTACAGTCTATTGACCCCAATTCTGTGGGTCTGTGCTTTCTAATTTTAAGGCCAGATTTCTCTCAGCTCGACTGTAATGGTACACACACACACACAGGTGTTTGAATAAGGGCTTTTAAATGACTTACATTATGTTAGCAGTTTCCATTAAACAGCAGCATGTTGTCAGTACACACTGTAAATGTGCACTGCACTTGAAGTATTGCTCACTAAAGTGTATTATAGCTAACAGCGTTTCGCTGTGTGCTATTCATTTGAGGAATTCGATAGCATTTTTCAAACTAACAGCTTGACTTATTAAGTTGCTACGGGGGAAAAACACAATGCAATTGTCTATTAAACGGTGTAATAATGTGTTTTAGTTTATTATACTGTGTTCTAAGTTACTCTGTATATTTATATTGTGTAAATCTATATCTTTAACTGTTGATATGAATATATTCTCCGTCTAATTTCCATTTAATCGTATTATTTAACATCAGACTTGTTTACCTTCT